TGTGTGTGTGTGTGTGCTGTGCCCCACTGTTCAGCTTGCTCCTTGCAAGCCGCTGCACCAGGGTGGAGCTCCGCTTGGAGGTGGGCTCGCTTTGCCTCTCCAGCCAGCCTGGCCGCCTCTGCTGCTGTCCAAACGCTGCCCTTTGAGGGGTCCCCGGCCGGACCTCCCCCCACACTGCTCGTCCCTGCCCAGGTCACGCTCAGCTATGGGATCTTTGAGGGGAAACTGAACGCCATCCAGCTACAGGGCCCCTTCTCTCCTGAAGAGGACCCCTCCAGGTGGGTGTGGTGCTACAGTTCCAGGATGGGGGTAGGGGGCTGAGCCCAGATATCCAAAGATGGGGGGAGATGGGGAGGGAGAGGAGCGCCACAGCCGGGAGTGGATGTCGGGTCCTGCCCTATCACAGCTTTGCTGTGTGACCTTAGGTATGTGTCTTACCCTCTCTGGGCTTCCGTCTCCTGTGTAGCCCTGGGAGGCTGGACATGATGGACCTGAGGGACTCTCCTGTCTCTGAGCTTCCATGATTGTTCAGGAGCCCCTGGAAGATTGTCCTGTCTCTCAGAGTGAGGAAGGTACTTCTATCCTGGGGCCCAGGGCCTAACTCGGAACCGAAGCCCAGACCTTCCCCCAGCATCCTGCCCCGGCAGCAGCTGGCCGAGCCCTGCGGCCTCCCGCCAGGCAGCTCAGGGTGGGTGCCAGCTTCACGGCCCCACCCGTGTCCACCCCTGCCCGGTCTGTGACCCGCAGAGGGCCTGGAGGAAGGACTCAATGCCCCAGGGGAATGAGCAGGGGTAGGGGTGATCCCAGAGCCTGCAGAGGGGAGGAGAGGAGGGCAGGGCAGACAGACTCCCAGCCCCAGCCTTGCTGCTGGCTGGGAGGTGACAGAGGACTGCATAGGACCTGGGGGCTGGCAGCTGTGTGCGTGTGTGTGGGGGTGGGCACAGTGTTCAGGGTGGGGGAGCGTGTGCAAAGGCCCGGTGGCCGCTGCTCCAGGGGAGACAGTGGTGTGTGATGTAACGCGGCCAGGCAGGTGGCAGGGACCTTCCAAGGCTCTCACTGGACTCGAGATTCGTTGAAGGCTGTGGCCTCGGGGACTTTCTGGCCTCAGGTTTCCAGGCCTGTGCTGGGGCAGAGGTTCTGGGCTAGGACTGTGTCAAACAAAGATGGAGTTTGGCTCAAAATGGGGAGAAAGAATTCCAAGATGATGCGAGCCACTTTCTTTCGGTCGTGGGGCCTGAAC